GAGAGAGAGAGAGAGAGAGAGAGAGAGAGAGAGAGAGAGAGAGAGAGAGAGGAGGTGGGGAGAATGAGTCACTTTAGACCTAAGCCTTTTCTGGTCCCACACCCCAGCCTCAGCCTCAACACCACTCTCTCCACTAGAGTCCCGAGTCTCTGTAATCCCTCATAGCACTGAGAAAATAGTTGTCAGCACACCAGGCAATAGCCTCAACCCAGGGACCTCCAGAGTGTGAGCATCTAGAACTCCAGAACATGCAGCCCTCATTCCAACAGCCAGCAGCAACCCACGGGGACAGGATCAGAAGATGTGCATGTCTGAAGACTGCAGAGGAGGGTCTAGTCGCCAGAGCTGTCCTGGGAAATGAGTTCATGACCCACCCAAAGTGCCATTCACTGTTCACCAGGCACTCAGGGTCCCAGGACGCCGGAGGCGAAAGCTGCTTCTTTGAGAGTTTGCCTCCCCTCCCACACTTGGGTCCTGTAGCACCAAAGGGATCATGCTTCAGAGCATCACAGCCCAATCAGACCCCAGGTTTTCACCAGGGGGCACTTTCAAGATGGAGGGACGGAGGTAAACCATAGCTGGGGTTCAGACCCACTCAGAAACTGTGATAATGAATGGATGCTGGGTCAGGCAAGTCAGTCACAGAGTGTGGAAGTGGAGCTGGACCCTGACCTTAGCATGAAAGCTGAGGTAGAAAAGGGTGGCAAGACCAGAACTCGGGATGGCTCATGAGCTTAACTGGACCTATCATTGGAGCAAGGAGGGTGGTGTAGGACATTCTGGAGTGGATGGGCAAACACAGAATGTGTCCTCAGGAGGGCAGAGGGAGAAGCCCCCAAACCACATCAAAACACCACTGTGAGAAGAGGGAGAAAGGAGCAGGAAGGGGCTTGGGACATGGCTCAGTTAATAAAGTGCTCGGAGTGCAAACATTAGGATCCGCACTCTACCACCCAGCATCCATTTTATTTCTTTCTTTCTTTTTTTTTCCTCTTTTCTTTTGGCATTTTCGAGACAGGGTTTCTCTGTGTAGCTTTGTGCCTTTCCTGGAACTCACTCTGTAGACCAGGCTGGCCTCGAACTCACAGAGATCCTCCTACCTCTGCCTCCCAAGTGCTGGGATTAAAGGCTTGCGCCACCATCGTCTGGCTAGCATCCATTTTAAAAAATGGGTGTGGTGGTGCATACTTCTAATGCCAGCACAAGGGAGGCAGAGACAGGAGGATCCTTACAGCTCATCAGTCATCCAGCCTAGCTTAAATGAGCCTTGGGTCTCAATGAGAGACCCCTGTCTAAAAAACCAGTGTGGATGGTTCTCATGAGATAGAGGTCCAGACTGGAGTCTTAGGTCCACCAAGGGAGGAGGGCCAGGAGGGAGGGTCCAGGAACTGTGTGCTGGCCATAGAATGCAGTATAGAAGCTAGCCTGACTCCCACTCTGTGAGGAGCTTGCTCTGTCTGGAGTCCCACGGCTGGTGGTCTATGGAGACCTGTCGACAGGAGAGACAATGGGTTTGGAACCCTGGTGGGGAAGCAATGCCTGGAGAGGGATCCTGCTAGGGGCACTCACAGAAAGGGCATCTAGGATGGGATGCCAGAGTTTGGGGGGGGGGAGGTTGGAACAGCAGGTGCAGGTGGGGGTTTCTCCAGCCAAGTTCAGCTGCAAGGGCCGCAAGAGCACAGACTTGGGCAGGGGGTGGGGGAGCAGGAGAGTAAGGTCAACACAGTCTGAGCTGGGGTGGGGGCAGGAAAGACAGGGCACTGCCTTCTAAATCTACAGTCAGGCGCCACTTCATAACCGTAGGGATGGCTGCTGGGAGAAAATGATGACGGTAAGGGGCGGTGCGCGTGGAACACAGGGCAGCTGCCATTCTTCAGACGGCTAGTCAGGAGTTCCTCTGGGCCCCTCTGTTCCGTGTCCTTACAGCACCGTTCCCGAGATTTGGTCTTTCACAAGCAGGACTGAAGCGGCTCAACGCTCATAGCTCTAAAAGCCAGGGACTCAGGGGTGTGTGGGAGTCTGGTGAGGGCTTTCTTTCTGTTATCCCACGGTGGAATTCAGAAGGCAAGAGAGAAGAGCACAGAGGGACAAGGGAGAAGATGAAGCGGGTTTAAAAAAAAAAAAAAAAGACAGGGTTGAGGCAGAAGCCAATGAGCAGGAGCAGGAGGAACCAAACTAGTTCTGTTGCCAGGAACCCAATCCCATGATAAGGGCATCAAGGCAAGGCCCCCATCCTAGAGGGTCAGGCCTTGGGATTCATCTCTCAGTATCACCCAATTGGGGACCGAGCTTCCCACATTTGAGTTTTAGGGACACATTCATAGTCCTGTATGGTCTAGCCCATTCCACTTCTAAGTCTAGAATATGGATAACTATACAGACCCTCGCACACTTTCCTGCCCAGCTGGCTTTACACGTGGCGGTGCCATCTGTCATGGTCACAACATGGAAGTAAACCCAGTGTCCAGGACTGATGGGTGGATGACCCAGGCACAGCACGTCCACACGATGGAATATGATTCGGACTTGAAAAGGAAGAGAACTGTGATGAATGCTACACCATAGCGTCGGGCATAGTCAGAGAAGCTGGATGTAAGAGGAAAACATTGGGGGTTCTGGTTACGTGAGGTCCCTGGGGCCGTCACAGTCCGAGAGACATAAGGTAGGATGGGAGTCGCAGCAGCTGGGGTTGGGATCAGGAGTTAGTTGTGTAATCAATCGGCACAGGTTTTGGGGTTCTTCAGTGATCCTGGAGACGATGGCGGCGATGGCTGCATTGTGAGTCTGCCTGATGACATGAACTGTAGACTTAATAATGGCAAAAAAAGCAACCTTGGTGCTATTTATATATCACCACAGTCAAAACAAGATAGCAGGGCCTCTAGCAGCCCAGCGAGAACAAAACAAGCGTGGAGACGGAGCCCCGAGATCTCAGCACGGAGCCCCGAGATCTCAGCACGGAGCCCCGAGATCTCAGCACAGCCACTGAAAAATCTGCCTTTGAGTCGGGAGGCTGAAGCAGGGGGGTTACAAGTTTAAGGCCAGCCTGGGCTACAGAGTGAATTTAAGGCCAGCCTGGGCAATATTTAGAAATATTAAAGTATATTAAATTAAAAATATTAAAAGTGGAAGGCTCTAGGTGCGGTGGCATACATTGCTGATCCCAGATCTTGCGAGGCAGAGACAGGTGGATCACTGTGAGTGTAAGGACCTCTGTGAGTTCAAGGCTGGCTTGGTCTACGTAGAGTCCAGCCTGCAAAGGTTCCAAAGTGAGACCTTGCTTTAAAAACCAAAGGTGGGGTGGGGGGTGGGGTGGGGGGCTGGCAGTGTTGCTCAGTGGTTGAGTGCATGCCTAGCAGGTGGAGAGCTTCGGGTTTGATTCCCAATATTTCCAGGGGGCGGGAAAATCAACTTTTAATTTTTCTTCATTTAGGATGATGTTATATGACAGAAAATACAAGTTGAAACTATTGAAAAAAAAATCTGTGTATTTTAATACCTATTATATCACTTTCCCCTAATTCTTGAACAAGGGACCTTGAATTTTGGGGTTGTGAATTTCTGTTGCTCGCTAGACCCCATAGGGCCAAAGGTTGAGAAGTAGAGCTAGACGCTGGGTGAAGGGAAACAGGGTGAGGTGGGCTGCCTGCGGTGCCCTTTGCAAGCTTGAACTTGGCCCCTCAGGGAAGGAGTGGCCATAAGCGGCCTGAAGAAGTGTGTGGATACAGTGGTCTCGCATAGCCCGTGAACCATAGAAGAAAGTCAGGGACCCTTTAACATCTACTCTTCTATAGGGCAGATTTGCCAGAGCTCAGACCCCGGCTCTACTGATGACCTGAGACATTTAACAATGTAAGCATTAAAACCTGTGTGTTAGCCGGGCCGTGGTGGTGCACGCCTGTAATCCCAGCACTCGGGAGGCAGAGGCAGGTGGATCTCTGTGAGTTCGAGAGCAGCTTGGTCTACAGAGCTAGTCCCAGGAAAAGGCACCAAAACTACACAGAGAAACCCTGTCTCGAAAAACCAAAAAAAAAAAAAAAAAAAAAAAAGTGTGTTTGTTTGTGTGGCTGGAGAAAAAACTGAAGTCCTTGTGCGTGCTAGCAAGCTCTTGGCCACCTAGCAACACCCTAGTCCCAGTGTGTACATTCTTAAAGATATCTTTGTCCACCTCTGTTGCCATGGACTTGGAGCTCCAAGGCTTCAGTTACCACACATCTCAGGCTCACCCTGGCACTCAGCAGTTACCCTTGAGCAGGCAGATTTCTTTAGATCTCTGTCTCCAAGCTTGATTCTTGTCCAAAGCCTCCCCGGGTTGGTCATTGTCCATACCCTACTGTCCTTCTGCATCTCAGAGAGAGGAGGCCCAGGGCCTGTTCAGAATCCTCTCCCCTGCCCTTAGCCCTAGGCCCACAGGATGGGGGCATGGCCAAGCCTGGTGGCACATATCTTTAATCCCAGCACTCAGGAGGCAGGTATATGTGGACCTCTGTGAGTTCAAGACCGGGGCCATGGGGAAAGTAGATAGACTATTACTAGGGGTTAGAAGACACTTCACGCCCTGCTACCCTAAAGCTCCCTCCACCAACTGAGGAGCTTGGCAGTGATGTCCTTGGGCCTCCCTTGTTCTCAAACTGGGCCTGGACCAGGTCCTCCCAATTGACCTGCATGAGAGGAGACATTCTGCAGCCCAGAATCATCTAGGCCCTGGCTGTGGTCCATGGCTGACTTTCCGCTGGAGATTCAGGATGACAGGGTTGAAGGTTTTAGGAGCCAGTGGTATGTGGGTACAGGCCTCTGACAGGCAGAGGTACTTGGTGATGATGGCCAGGCTCAGTGTGGCTCTAAATTGAGGCTGGTCTAGATGCAGGTGGGTGCTGCAGGCTTGTAAGATCATCTCACCTCCGTATAAATGTGCACGAGGACTTCCTAGGAACCCAGTTTCCATACCTCCTATCGCCCCGCCAACCTCCCGCAGGGTCACTGTTGTCCAGCCAAGGTGGGGTGCTGGCTGGCTACATCAAGGGTCCCTCCCCTACAGTAAATGACAGCTGAGGGACATCCCTTTAACAGAGGGTCCCTAGTTGCTCGCCTGGCCTGGCCTGGGACTTGACTCCTGCCCCCCTGGATGCGAGGCTGTCACAACCTCAGTGTCCAGCTCTGGTTACCGCCCAACCCTGTCCTCAGCGTGACCACATGGCATCCTAACACCAAGAGGGAGGGAGTGGGGGGGGGGTCGGGTCTCAGCCCTCCCATCAGTCACTCTTTGGTGATTAGGTGGGCTGGGGAGTCTATACCCAACCAGTTCTGGGCCCTGGTACCGATACTCGTCAGTCTCTGAACCAAGTATCATGTAGGACCAGGGTGGCTGTGTGACGGGGACTCTCTTGCCATCCTGTGGGCCTAGCCGAGTACCTAGTGCACACTGTCCTGCCCCCAGAAGAACCTAGGCACTCAGTGTAGGGAGGGGTATGTGGTCAATCCTATCCCAAAGAGAAGCCCAGAAACCCATCTTGGGGGAGCCCTTAGTGACTTCCCAGTGGCCAAGTGCCTGCATCTTTGGGAAACTGCTGGTTCATCTCATTTGACTTTTTATTTGTTGTTGTTTTTATTTAATTTAGCTGTGTGTGTGTGTGCGATACGTATTTGATGAAGAGTTCGCACATACCATGACATGTATATGGAAGTTAGAGAATGACTTTTGGGAGATGGTTCTCTCCTTCCGTTGTGGGCCTCAGGTACCAGACTTAGATCATCAGGTTTACATAGCCACTAATGCATCTCACCCGACCCCCACCGGAGTCACAGAGCTGCTCCGTGCATGGGGCTACACAGACCTTCTCCCATGAAGCTTCCCTGTGCCCAGACTCCCATCACTAATGTCCTATGCTTGGGGGTGCCTTGGTGCTCCATGGCAGGGGTCTCAGCCTGTGCTGGCCCACAGAAGGTCTTTCAGCATGTGTCTTGGGGAGGCTGGCAGTACTCTTCTCCCACTGTCCCTTTTAGGGTCTGTCTCTCTCATAGTTTCTGGCCCCGCTGGAGGTACCGTGTCGGTAGGTAGCAAGGTGTCTCAGGTGTCTATCAGTGTCTGTCAGGCTGCTTCTGCCGCTACCAGAGATGTGCCAAGAGACAGAGGTGGTCCCGGAGTACCCTCTCTAGCTCCAGCACCCGAGAGCGGCCCTGCCGCTGGCCACATCAGCACTGTACCCCTTCCAGCCCCATTTAGAAACTCGATAAGGGGCACAACTCACGCCCCTGGCCCAGGCCTCTGTAGGGGGATTCCATCCCTGTCCTTCCTGACTCCCAGTCCTGGCCAGGGACCTTTTCAGTACATGTTGGGGACCCAGCCACCCTGTCATAGAGCAGCTCCGGGCCAGGCCACGGGAGAGCTGGGTGTGGGCAGGATGTCTGGAGGAGCTATTGCTGCAGCCAGTCACTGTCCAGAGAGGGCCAGTGCCCAGGAGGGGCCTCAGCAGGGACTGGAACCAGACCTGACAAGTTTGGCCTCGGTCACAGGCAAAGCGTCCAGAGACAGCACAAGGCGGCAGCTAGGTCCCCAGGGCCGGAGAGGACAGCCAGGGAAGAGTGGAGGTGGAAGGTCCCTCTTCCATAGGACTCCGGAAATGACGGGCGGCAGCCAGGCAGCAGAGAGCGGCAGCTAAGTAGCGCACCCAGCACAAGGGACTCCTGGGTGCTATGCAGAGGGTTCTGTGGAGGCCGCAGGGACAAGCTCGGCACGTGTCCTGGCCAGGCTACTTTCCCTGCTGGCCCCGAGCCACGGCCAGTTGGGGACACAGTGTGCAGCGGGAACAGGGTGTGTGTTTGCTCAGGGTGCCTGGAGCCCGGCATGGGACAAGGGCCCATTGTGTCCCCGACCATTCTGGCTAATCCTGCCCCACTGGCCCCATCCATCCTGCCCCACCTCCACCTCTGCCCTGTGACCCCTCACCACTGTCCACAGCGTTCTCACCCCTCACGTCTACATCACCTTGCCAATACTGAGTCTCCACCTACGCTTGATGCCCCGAGACCTCCATGAACCTTGACCCCTACCTCTCCCCACACCTCATGTCCCTTCCTTCACCACCCCCTCCCACGCTGCCCTCTGCCCTTCCGTCATCATCCCCATCCAGTGCCCCCAGATCCACACACTCCCTACATCCTCATACATCCTGTTGCATACCCCAGGTCCCACACGGGTCCTATTCACAAGCACAAACACGTCACCTCTGCCGCCCCGGAGTCTCCCTCGGGGTGACTTGCTGATGCCAGAGACAGAAGGGAAGTGTGATCCTATCAGCCCTAGGGAATAGAGATGCAGGGCTATGTGTCTGGTCTCGGGGGACATCAGGTTGGCGACCGAGTCTTTCAATCAGCTAGCCCATGGCTAAGGAATGAACTGACAGCTGCCCGCTGGGGCTCATCTGGGACTGCTGCTCTGCCAAGCCTCTTCCACACACAAGGGCTATCTATCTATGGCAGTGTCTTCCTAGACCCAGTGGACTGGACTCAGTGAAGCAGAGCCCAGCTGGCATCCTCCACGTCTGCAAGGGTCCCTCATGAGGTAGGTTGTGAAACGGTGGATAAGTGGCTGGATTTCCTGGCCTCACTGCTAGCTCAGCCTCATGAGGCAGCGGCAGGGGTGGGGGTGGGGGGTGGGAGAGTTGGGGGGGGTGTAGTCTCCGTACTTGTCCATGCTGGAGATATGCTCTGCTCGGCTGCAAAGTGTTTCCTCATGCCCAGTCTCACAAAATCCTTAGGTTAAGCGGTACTCTCTGGCTCACCGGTAAGAAAGCCGAGGCTGGGTATCACTAGGGCATGTGCTGGGGGCTGGGACATGGTGAGTATATAGAGTGCTTGCGGCAGTGAGTCCTATACCAATGTGAACCTTACAGAGGCCTGGCTGATGGTGCAGAACCGGTCTGACAGGTGAAGCTACACCCTTGTGTGTGTGTGTGTGTGTGTGTGTGTGTGTGTGTGTGTGTGTGTGTGTTCGCGAGCTTACGCCTTTGCGGGCTTGCTAACGAAGACATGTGCACTGGGGCCCAGCCAGGAGGCAGGCAGGACACGGGCCCTGGCCTGCGTCATGGGCATCACCTCCTCCGTCAGGTGGCCACCTGCTGGGGGTGTTGGCTCAGCTGGGAGTGGCAGAGCAGGTACAGCTGAGCCTTGAAGGCTAGGATAGAGAGAGGAATAGGTGGGCTGGACAGCACCCAAGTGCACACTCCACCCGTCTTCATAGGTCAGAAGCAGAAAGCACCCAGCAGAGCTGGGGAAAGGCAGCCTCACCAGGAAGGCCAAACCTGGACCGGGTCCCTGGGTGTTGAAAGACACAGAGACTCCAGCCCCATCCCTGGCTCTGCCCGGCCTAACCTCAGCCCCTGAGATGCCAGCCAACACTCTAAGCCCTGGAGCTGGCTGTGGCAGGGCTGGTCTGACAGCTGCCCTGCTCCTCATTCCTTTGACCCCCAGTGGCCGGCCAGGTTGGCTTCATGCTCACCTTGTCCAGGGGTTACTAAGGTTGCACGTATTCCCTGGGGTCCACAAGTCTTCTTGGAATGGATAATGGACCTGGGGCTACCTGCCTAGGTTGTCAGTTCTTCCCCCGAGAGACAGAAAGCTGGTCCCCTGCTCTGGGTGTCTCCTATCCCCATTTAGACTACTTCCCTACTATTACCTGGTAGATGTATACTTATGCTCAGATAGGGACCTGGGGTTAGCAAGAGTGGTTGGCTGGACTTCGAGGGCAATGGGCGAGAGATTTCATATCCCTGGCCCCACAAGCTCCTGGTGAACCCTGAGCTCTTCACCTGCTGGACAGGTCACTAAATCACCTCTGCTGAGAGACTGTGTCTAGCCAAGCAAGATCTCAGAAGGCTGAGGTCCCCTCACCCCTACTGGAGCCAGCTCCATCATCCCAACCAGCCCTTGCCCCGCAGCCTATGGCCATTCCTACCTCGGCAGCAGCAGCAGCAGCAGCAGCAGCAGCAGCAGCAGCAGCAGCAGCAGCACCTGGCACAGAGAACTGTGTGGGCCAGGGCCCCTGCTCCTCCAGCACGACCTTCGAGGGCCTGGACTAAACCTGAGTACGACCACATACATACCCAGGCTCCCTCCTGGCTATCTTGGGGGCAGCCACTTTACTTTCTCAAGCCTTAGTTTCCCTACCTATAAACAATAATTAAGAAGATGTCAAGACAGGGAAGAACCCGTGTACAGGTCCTACATGTATGGGTGCTACTGTTCATCTCCCTCTCCTGCCAGCCAGCCTATTCCCTCGACAAGCTGCCAAGGCCTGGAAGGACCCCACCAAGGACTGAGCCAACACCCTGGCCATTCCAATGCGTCACTCACCCTCTTGCGGGCCTGTGGAGCTCACCTAGCTGGGCTTGAGGGCCCCTGGAAGAGACAAAGCCCTGGCTGAGGTCCGAGGACACACAGGGAGCGTCAAACCAGGTCCTGGAGGTGAAAGGTAGTTCTGGGTGCTGGGAAGAGCTGAGATGTCAGAGCAGGTCAGGATCTGCTTATAGACTTACAGACTGTTTATAGACTGGAGGTTTCCCCTGAAGTCCTACCAGGTGGGTGGAGCTCCCAGCAAACCCATTCTACAGCTGATAACTGAGGCCCAATCTCTGCCTTTCCTCCTCAGGCAATAGGGATTCAATGAAAGGTTGTAAGCAGGAGACTCACATGCTCAGAAACCTCTCGAGACAGATAAAGCTGAGGGGGACCCTTGGTTACGGAGCAGTAGCGGGGGCCTCGGTTCTAGGGCTGCAGGTGAATCAGCTGGCACAGGGCCAGCTGGGGATTAGAGCCAATGCATCAGCTGGATAGCACCAAGTGAATGACCTCTTTGCTGCTGCCCGTGGGGGCAGCCTCTGCCTAGGGTCCAAGAGCAGCCAACTTGTTCACTTGGGCGGGTTACCCGGGCCGGGTCGAAACCCCAAAACTGCGTCCCAGAAACTGCTAGTCAGCGGCTCGCTCCCCTCCCACAGCCTCTAGGGAAACTGAAGCCGCTCTGGGAACACCCAGGCAAGGGTGTGGCCGGGACCGGAACCCACAGAGAGTCAAGACAGAGGAGCAGGTCATGGAGCCAGTGGAGATCTCCTTTGCACATATTCCCTGGGGTCCACAAGTCTTCCCCTTGGAATGGATAATGGACCTGGGGCTACCTGCCTAGGTTGTCAGTTCTTCCCCTGAGGGACAGAAAGCTGGTCCCCTGCTCTGGGTGTCTCCTATCCCCATTTAGACGACTTCCCTACTATTACCTAGCAGATGTATACTTATGCTCAGATAGGGACCTGGGGTTAGCAAGAGTGGTTGGCTGGACTTCGAGGGCAATGGGCGAGAGATTTCAGATCCCTGGCCCCACAAGCTCCTGGGGAACCCTGAACTCTTCTCTCTTCTTCTCCTTCCTCCTTGCACAACCCAGGGCTGAACCTGGCTAAGGGAACTCAGAGCCGTAACCTTGTCCCCAAATCTTTCAAAAGGACCGGACCACAGATTTTGGGGTGACACCAGCACTTGAGCGCGGTGCTGGCTGAATGGCTTTTAGTGGGTTATCTGCTCATCCCTTCCCTCCCCCCCAACTTCAGCCCACCCCCACCCCCCCACCCCCCACCAACTTTCATCTCCCCCTCTCCTCACTCCCCACCCCACTGCCGGCCTGGCTGGGGCTGACCTTTCTCTATCCGAGGGACAGCAGTATGTGCTCAGAAAAAGCAGGTGTGCTCAGAGGGCAGAATGGCCGGTCAGGTGTGAGGCAGGAGGCGCGGGCAGGATTCTGTATGGTCAGTGGGCACCGCTGTGCCTCTGATCCAGGAGATGAGCATGGATCCCAGGTACCCCACCACAGTTCAGCTTTGCAGCGTAAGCCCAGAAAGTCAAGCAGAGCCCTGTGTAGACAGTGAGACTGGCTGCCTAAACCGGGGAGGGCAGTGCGTCATGACATAGGCAGGTGGACTCTGGACAGCAGGTCTTCTAAGTGCCAGGCTGTCGGCCTGGCACCCGCAGCCCCAAGGAGCCAGTGAGAGCTTAATAATCACCAAGGTCAGAGAGGCAGTGGGAGCCGGAAGGGCTTCTGGAGGAGAAGGAGCTGGGGCCTGTAGGCTACTGCTAACCTGGGTGGGGGACAGGGGTGGTGTGGAGTTGGGGGAACTGGGGGAGCATGCAGAGTGGGAACCCAGCCAGAGAGTGAAAGTGTAGAATTCTTCCCATTCCTTCCATTTGGAGCGCTGACTCAGCTGACTCAGCCACGGGGCTTCCTGCGCAAGCCTTCTAGTTAGTAGGATGGGGTAAGGAGTGCGGCTGTGCCTGAGGACCCTCAACCCCAGTCTCCCATCTCAGGCGCCCACCCCACTCCATTTCAACACCCAGCCAGCTCTCCTTTACTGCTCTGCACAGGGTGGCTGGCGGGCGGGCGGCGGCGCAGGAGCCTGAAAGTTGTGAGGAGGGTCCCAGAGTGGATGATAATCAAGTCCTGCCTTACCCCAAGAGGACTCAGCTGCCTCACTTGGGGGTGTGGGTAGACAGGTAGAGTAGCCTCTCCTTGGGCCTCTGTTCCCCAGCCCCCAGACAATGGACAGCCCTTGACCACCCCAGATGCAGTTCCCTGGATCTTCCTCCTGAGGAGTGGGACAACGCTAAAAATCACAAAGCTGTGCCTTTGGACCCAGTGGCCCTAAGGCAGTTGTGATGTGTGGGTCTCTCCACTTGGGGGATGGGGTCTCAGGGAAAAAAGCAGGAAGGTTCATGAACCCCACAAACAGTGAAAGTACATGGGGGGGATGCTGACTACAGTGCCTATAGCCCAGTGCCCATCTGGGAGCCAATGGGCACCAAGTACATTCCTTCTTGGGCACTGATCCCAACTGGCTAGCCACTGGGACATTCTGGAGGGTCCTCGAGGCTAGACTGGGCCCCTCTGACTGGGTTCTGGAGAACTGGAAACCCTACTTCCTGGAGCAAGAACAATCACTGGAAATTCATGGTGAGTTGGTCAAGAGTTGGGGCCTCCCCTCTGCAGACGCCAGCTCAACCTATGTACAGACCAGGGCACCCTCCCCCCCTTCCCCCGGCCATCCCTGCCATTTCCTAGGAATAGGGAAGTGGTCTTGTGGTTGGAACAAAGCCTAGCGGCTTCTGAACTGGATGCCCTGCCCAGGCCACCACAGAGTCCCAGGGTCAGGATGGGTTTGTGAAACCCTGCCCAGAGACAGGGACGGGGCAAGGCCTTCCTCTGGCCTCAGTGGGTCTCTCGGGACTCTCATACAACTGGGTTCCAGAGCAGACTCAAAGGACTGTCTTGGAGCCCCAGCAGCCCTGGTCCCGTTGCTTTTAGCTGCTCCTGGCCCTCCTGGTTCTTCACCTAGTACTGCTCGAAGGGGCAGGAAGGGCCTGAGAGACTCAGAGGGGTTCCAGAAGAGGGAGCCACAGCTTGGGTTCATCACTCCCCAGCCAGCTGGGTATGGACACAGACACCCTCACTTCTGTTCCCGCTGCATCTTGGGATATGACTGCTCCTGGTGCCCATTAGCACCTGGCTCAGGAGCCAGATCAGTGTCCTCTCAACGTAGGGGGGGTTGGAAAGAGCAATAGGACACAGCCTGGGGTAACATCAGCTTTGTGGACTGGTCCTAGAGCCCAGCCCCGGCCTGGCTGCTCCGTATCCATACTGTGTCTTCCAGGATTTGGACCCTGCCTGCAGGCCTGGCATACCCAGCAGGTATGAAAGGGGAAGAAGATGAGGGCAGGCTCCTGGCAGTCTGGTATACCAACATGTACCTCCAGGTGCTGTGAAGACAAGCTGGTACTTTCTTAGATCTTTTGTGAAGACATGCCGGGATTTTTCCAGCTCTTTTTCTACAAGCAAAATTCGAGCCCATATTTCTTCCTCAACACCACTGACTGCCCCCTCACCACACCCAGGTACTGGGAACTTACTCAACCCTCCTCTAATTCTGAGCCACTAGAGGTGGTCCACAGAGATTGGGAACCTAGGCTTTCCGGCTCCACACGGTGTGGGTGCTGCCCACAGCTATCGGAGAGGGGCTGACTCACATCTAGCCTGAAGCAGTCTTCTGTCTTGCCTTGGTTCTCTCCCGGCCCCGACTACTCTTGGGCAGAGGTCATGCTGGCAGAAACAGTCCTCTCTGAGAGCTCCGGGGAGCCAGCTGCTTGCTGTCCACAGGCATGTCCTGGACCCCAACATCTTCACGCCAGCAAAGAGCGCTGTTCTCTTTGGCCACATGCACCTACGGGAGGCAGGAAGGGCCTGCAATATCAGCATCCTAGGTTGACTTGAGGCATGTGAGTCTGGCAAACTGATAGACACGCCGCAGCAGGTGCTCACTCAGTATGCGTCTCCGAGCTCGTGATCACACTTGAGCTGGACATTTCTCCTGGCCCCTCTGCATCCCTAGGGGACAAGAGTCTTCCACCAGGAGTTAGGGGGGTTCCAAGCACTCGCCTACCTGTGTAGATGTGCTAGAAGTAGGAGGAGTGTGAATGAGTACTCCTATTCCTATACTACATACATAGTTGGGCTTGGCCCAGAGGTGTCCCTCGTACGGTGGAGGCCCACCATAAGCCAACCCGTGTGGGAAGTTTTGAGGCTCTGTTATGAAATTCCAGGCTATGTGCCCACCAGGCACCCACTAGACACTTGTGGACAGTGGTTCACAGGTGTTTACCCGTCACCAGAAGTCCCATCTATACACGGGGAGGCTGAAGCTGGAAGGGTAGGTCAGCCAGTAGCAAAGCAAGGTCTGAGTGCTGGGTGGGTCCTGGGCTGTGGTACACAGGCTGAGATTCTGAAGGTGGTCCTCAGAGGTGAGCTAGAAAGAGGTTGAGGGGAGGTAGGGGTGGGGGCAAACTTGGTCCAGCACAGATGGTGTGGGCAGCTGGGTTTAACCACAGGCAGGAACTTTGTGAGGAAGAGGACCTTCAGCCCAGTCTGCCAGGACCCTGTCCAGACCACCTTGCTACATGGGCCCATAGCCCCAGCTCAAGCTGACTCCGTTGGGGCCAACGTGGCTGAAGTTTTCTGGACAGTTGGATCTAGATGGGATGGGCCAATGGCATCACATCCACCATCATCGCTGCTCTGGGTGAATGATAGAAAACATTCAGTGATGATGAAGACTTGGTTTAGGCCTGGATACTCATGGCATCTTTTTCAGGGTCTTTTAGGCCAGGTGAGTATGCCTGTGGGTGCACCCTGGTTATAGCAGAATGCGAGCAAATGCTCCTCAGTGGCAGCAAGAACCATGCCAAGGGGGAGCGGCAATTCGTCAACAATGGACGGGCTCAGCTCAGGCTGAGGACTTAGGACAGGCCAGGGTCCCCTGGGAAGGGAGATGATGTCCATCAGCCTCTGGGACAAGGTTGGAAGAGGCAGCAATAGTGGCTGGGCCAGAGTTCATGCAGGCTGGGGTTCTGTTTCTGATCCTGTTGGGCCTCCCCAACCCGGGGACGCCTTTGGCAAAATGTTGCAAAATCCTGGCTAGCTCCTCTGGCTCCTCTTCTCATTCAGGAGAGGTTTGCCAAGGAGTGTGGAGGCAGGAGGGGAAAGGGCCTTGCTTGCCTTAAACTGAGAGCTCTGCCTCCAGCCAGCCTGGGGGCCTGGCCTTGGACAGGCCTGACAGGGTGGGCAGCCAGGGCCTGTTGGCTAATCAGCTGGCCAGAGCCAGGCTCAGGGAGAGGTTGGCCTGGCACAACACCAAGTCTAGATCTGGGGCCAGGGCCAGGGCCAGGGCCAGGGCCAGGGCCAGGGCCAGGGGTGTGAGACTGGTGCCAGGTGTGCCTATCTGGGATACTGCCTGGCTAGGTAATGGGGGCCAAGGAGGGGCCTGTTCAGTTGGGCTCAGCAGCTCTGGTGGGAGCCAGGTCAGAGGTAGCTCAGGGTCCAATAGGGACCGTTTGTAGAAAGGATTGACTCCGAAGGCCACAGAGGCATGGACTGGGCCTGGCCTGGGATGAGGCAAGAAACAGGAAGACAGTGGGTTAATAGGAAGGAGGTGAGACAGAATAGAGACATAAAGGGCAACTGAGGAGACTCTTGGGATGGAGGGACATCAAAGACAGCCAGGGGTTGAGAAGACCCAGGACCTACCTGCCTACCTGTGGGGCAGTTGGACATGGGCTCTGTCATTGGCAAGAGCACTGGTTGTGGACGAGATCCGCAGGGAGGTGAAGGCACCAGGGAGACTGAGGGTACCAGGGCAGGACAGCTTGGGGAGAGTGTGGGAGGTGCCCCGCCTTGTCCTTCCCTGTGATATCACAGATCTGAAGAGGGTCTGAAGTGTGGTTTTGTGTGTCTGTGTGTCCATGTTTTGAGGACAATTACTTGCATGTGACTGTGTTTGTAAGTACATATGACTCTCTCTCTCTCTCTCTCTCTCTCTCTCTCTCTCTCTCTCTCTCTCTCTCTCTCTCTCTCTGTGTGTGTGTGTGTGTGTGGACTGAGGCCCTGACCATCCCTCCAGTCCATCATCTCTTCTTTCCTAGCAGGAAGGACAGCCTGGCTCTGGTCACCACAGCAACAGCACAGCCCCTCCCACCCGCAGGACAGAGTGACCCGGTGGGGCTGGCTGTGCGTTCTGTCTGTGCCCACTGCAGGGCAGAGATGCCTGTTTCCAAGGCTGCAAGCACATGGGGGACAGGGTGGCTTGGGGGCTGCCGAGTGGGGGGGGGAGAGAGAGAGAGATAGAGTACAGACCCTCTGGTAGCATCCATCCCGCTCCACCAGCCCCCTCCGTGAGTAACACCTGGTTAAGAGGGGAAGGCCAACAGACACACTCTCCCCATGTCACACTGATCTGGGACCCAGGGCACCCTTGGCGTGGTAGGAAGGCAAGGAACGGGGCGTGGGCATCTGCAGCAAGGCCCTTCTCATCTGGAGTATTCTGGCTCTGCTGATGCCTGTGGAATGACTGACCTGTGGGGCCCAGGGCTATTTTTAAGGCTTACCGGATGGGCCTTCCAGGAACCAGGAAAAAACAGGTGGAGGACTGGTCCCCGGCACAGGAACTGGCTGGGGGTGTTGAAACGTGTGGCGCAGGGATGGCCTGAGGTCCAGCTTCCGACAGCCATGCCCAGGGGGAGCACAGGACCAGAAGCCCTGGGTCTGATTCAGTCTAGACTCCCATGCCAAGAGGAGAGAGGCTCCACAGACAGGACCCATCAGAACCTCCATCTGATAAATTAATAAATAGGGTCATCCATGCCCATTGCTGGTAGCGGGTAGGATGAAGCAGGATTATTTGGGGACACAGGGGTTTCCCAATGCCTCTCCAGAGCAGATGCATGGGTAGCTGTTCAGATCAAGCCTCTTATCAGACCTCCCCCTCAGGCCAAATGGAATATGATGAGGCCTGTATGGTTCCTGGGGATGAGGGCCAGGGTCTATTCTGATACGTCGTGGAGCTTAGTAGGTTTGCGGTCCTCAACACACACACACAGAGGCCCATAGAGTAATCTATCCACAACACAATAAAGATAAACCCCCCACCTGAGGAGAAGGCTGCTTTCTGTTCCACAGATTCCTTGCTTCTCCCCAAATCTGGGGTCCAATACAACCAGACTATCCCGGCCTGGAGGAGGACAGCTCCCGGTGGACTCTTAGCTGGTCAGCTGGTCCTGTGAAAGCACCCATAGGCAGACACTCCACCTGAGCAGGTGCCCTGTGAATCCTGCTGATAGGTGCTGCAGGGAGCTCTGTTCTGGATAGACGCCCGTTAGCCTCCTGGAAGCACTTCAGGGGAGAGACAAACAGAGCTCTAAGAACCTGAGACCCATTCACAGCGCGCACCATTGGAGGTTTGTGAGTGTGTGTACCCAGACCGTTTGAGGGACTAAAGCCACAGGGACAGAAAGGGACAAGGAAACTGGGTGGGCCCTGGATTATTGAATCAAGACAGTATGTGCCTCAGAAGGGTTCCAGAGTGGGAAAACTGGCGTGGTCCGTGGCATGAGTCGGAGGGACACCGACAAGCCGGAGGCCAGGCTCCAGATACCCCTGGCAACGGCACAGGATTATCAGTTGAATTGTTTAGACATCCATCTCAGGTCCTAGGAGCAACTGCAAAATGTGTTCAGTGCCCTGCTCTCAACCCGTTCTGACTCAGCTAAGGCTGGCAGATGACCACTCACATTCCCAAGTCCTAGGCTGCTCTTGGGCCAGTGACTTGGCTTGAGTTCAACAACAGTGGAGTCCAATTTCAGCAGTGCCTTATAAAGGGCACAGGGAAACTGCGGTAGGCCGTGTCTACGTGGGCTGCTCAGAACGGGACCACGGACATGATCGCCATCAACGAAGGCCCACTGGTAGCTGTGGGCAGCCAATGGACACATTGTCAGGGGGCTGGAAAGCAGAGGGACAGGCCCCCCAGGGCAGAGGATTTGGGGTTAGGCAGGCTACCATAGGTACCCCAGCTAGGAGCATGAGGTCTGAGCCCAGCTGATGGGCAAACACAAGGTGTGCTCCGCGGAGGTGGGGCTGGGCTGGAAGGTCTGAGGGCAATGCTTTCTCCCTTGGCCAGCCACGTGCGCACCGTGGCGCGCCAGCGATGGGTGACGCACACAAGGCGAGTGTCAGCGACGGCCTCAGAATCGCCTGGGTATCCTCCTGGACTTCCGCCTCTCCGAGGGAGCCGGCTCCTCGCACTCCACGCGCCATGGACGCCCACGGAAAACGAGGGAAGAACACGCGTAAGTCGCGGAGACCGAGAGTGACCTTCCTTTGCGGGGCCGGGAGGGGGTGGGGGGGGTGTGAGGCTCGGAAGGCCCCGCCCCGCGTCGCCATTGGCTGAGTCCCCGTGTCCTTTCAAAACCTCGGTTTTCATTGGCTTATACGGCCCCGCCCGCGCGGCCAGAAGCATAGGGGCCGCCGCCCGCGCGCGAGTTGCGCGTGCGCAGGGCGAGTGAGCGGGGCCGTGGGGTGCCGCGGTACGCTGTGCGCCTCCGCGACTCTACTACGGCAAGCTAGTCCGGACGGGTCGCCGTCCCCGTGCGGCACGGGCCCTTGACAAACCGACAGGGAACGTCCGGCTTTCCCAGCAACGCCTAGCGATACAACAGCCGCACTGCAAAGCCAGCCTGGGGCGGAAGGGGGCGGAGCCTTAGGCGGCCCCGCCTTCGCGGAAGGATACGCGTCTCCGTGGTCCAAAACCCCGGGGCGAGGCGGCCGGGGCGTGTGAGCCGCTCGGCCAGCTGTCGTAGACGCGCTTCCGCGCGGCCACCGGGCAACTGCGCCGCGCGGCTGCCTCGCTGAGCGCTCGGCCTCGGGGCCGCGGGATCCGCCGCGCTGTCTGCGGTCGGGAAGACCGCCCTCCCGCGTCCGTGCCGGACGGGTCAGAGGCGGCACCGCACGCGAGGCCACCCGCGATGCTGCTGTCTAAGTTCGGC